AAAAGCAGCTTTTCACCTCCACGTTTTGCAAAGAAAATGTAGGAAGGAAAATTTTCTTTGCAAAATGTGGAGGGGGAAAGCAGGGATCAAAGTGCTTTGATCCCTCCCCCTTACTTCCATGTATAAAACAACCAATTTTCCCTTTTATTATTTCAGGGAAAAGTATTGTTTTATATATGGAAAAATACAGTATTTGCAATTTTATTTTATTCATCGAGTATCCAGGTGCCTAAACAATGACCTTGATGGGGGCCAGGCTGTCCCTAGGCTGCACTTTGTTCAGATTGTGCTAAGTAGATAGAGGGGGGAGTATTTCAGCTCCTGGTTGTGGGGAGTGGGCTTCAAAGGGCCTCATCACCAAATAGCTCTCCTTTTCTTCATTTTAGGTGCTGCCTATTCACTTTATCTTACTGACTCTGTGCTCAGGGGCAGAGGGGAAGGGCAAGCTGAGGTTTGCTCCTCTTCTCACTCACTCATTTCTATACAAATATGGCCCTTAGAAGAGGGGAAAACCCCTTCCTGGCTAGTTCCAAGAGACATGGGAAACATGCAGGCCTAGATAACCTGCACATATTTTGTAGCATCTCTGTTCTATCTACAGACATTTCTGTGATTTTTCCATCTCAAATGAGCAAGGGAAATGAGTGTGAGCTGGCAATTTGGCTTGTGTGCTGTCCTTAGTCTGGCTGACTAGCCAAGCTTGCTGCTGACCTTGGATATTGTTTTAGTATCTTTCAAATCCATGTAGCACCTTGCCCTTCTAGATTGGACGGGGATACAGGTTCAAACAAAAATGTGCCTCTAACGTGTATTGTGGAGAATTTTGAAATAGCTACAGTAGTTAATAAATAACAAGACTTGAAGTTAATTCCTTTTTTTTTGCAATGATTAATGCATAAGTAAGCTACATTATAATTGTAATGCAAGAAGGAACTTTGCTTCTTGTGCAGTGTAACTGTAACTGTTTACACTATTTGTTCCAGTTACAGGGGTGCAGTCTAACTGCTTAGGTGTGCTTTTTATCATAAGATAATAGCAACATATAGCATTCCGGTTTTCTTTAAATCTACGGCCTTAATTTTTATAAATTAGAAAGGCATATATGTTACAATTTCAATCACTTTGCTATGTGCAGTGAAGCTGCCTCTGACTTGTGACCATCCTATAAATGAGTGACCTACCAAAGGTCTAATTTTTAACAGCTTTATTCATCTTTCAGACAAAAGTCTAAAGCAACCTATATTGAATGAATCCCTTATTTGGTCTTCTTTAATGCTGTCTTCAACTTTTCCTAGCATTATGGTCTTTTCCAGCTGATCTTTATCTTCCCATCATGTGCATTTGAGGATCTTTTCTCATTGCTTCATTGCTGCCCTTCTGAGTCTCGGTTTTCTGATTTCTTGGCCGTGGTCTCTATTTGGATTGATGACTGGACTGAAGTATACAAACTCTAACAATTTCAATTTCTTCATTTTCAACATTACTGTTATATGGTTCTTCTGTATTCATTTTTGTCTTCTTACTGTTCTGCTGCCATTTGCATTTTATTCTTTCACCTTCATCAGGTGTAATTTCAGGTCTCTGTTGCTTTCTACTAGTAAGATGTTATCATCTGCGTATTTTCAATTATTGATGTTTCTTCCACCAGTTTTCACTCAGCCTTTATCTGAGTCTATCCAGTTTTCTGTATGATATGTTCTACATATAGACTGAAGAGATAGGGAGATAAAATACACTGTGACTCTTGTTTGATGCCTAAGTCTACAGGAAATCATTCTGCTTCTCCATAGTTTGTCCACAATATATGTTATAGATCATACAATAATGTGTTAAGGTACACTCATTTGTTTTAGAATATTACATAGCTCAGTGGTTCTGAAACTTTTTTGACTCGTGGCTCCCTTACTGGCTACTGGCTGTGGCTCCACAATACAGTAGGACTGCCATATCCACAGATTTATTACCCATGGTTTCACTTACCCATTGCCTGAAAAAAAAAAGAGAAATGAAAAAACACACACACATAAATACACCTTT